CACACACCTGCAGAGAGCTACATACACTCACCTGCAGAGAGCTCCACACACCTGCAGAGAGCTACACACACACCTGCAGAGAACTACACACTCCTTCAAAGAGCTACACACACCTGCAGAGAGCTACACACACACGCACACACCTGCAGAGAGCTGCACACACATGCAGAGAGCTACACTCACCTGCCGAGAGCTACACTCACCTGCTGAGAGCTACACACACATGCAGAGAGCTACACACACCTGCAGAGAGCTACACACACCTGCAGAGAGCTAAACACACATGCAGAGAGCTACACACACCTGCAGAGAGCTACACACACCTGCAGAGCGCTACACACACATGCAGAGAGCTACACTCACCTGCAGAGAGCTACACACACCTGCAGAGAGCTACACACACCTGCAGAGAGCTGCACACACTCACCTGCAGAGAGCTGCACACACATGCAGAGAGCTACACTCACCTGCAGAGAGCTACACACACCTGCAGAGAGCTACACACACCTGCAGAGAGCTACACACACTCACCTGCAGAGAGCTGCACACACATGCAGAGAGCTACACACACACACACCTGCAGAGAGCTACACACACCTGCAGAGAGATACACACACATGCAGAGAGCTACACACACCTGCAGAGAGCTACACACACACCTGCAGAGAGCTACACACACACCTGCAGAGAGCTGCACACACCTGCAGAGAGCTGCACACACCTGCAGAGAGCTACACACACCTGCAGAGAGCTGCACACACCTGCAGAGAGCTGCACACACCTGCAAAGAGCTACACACACCTGCAGAAACCTACACACACCTGCAGAGAGCTGCACACACCTGCAGAAAGCTGCACACACCTGCAGAGAGCTACACACAGCTGCAGAGAGCTACACACACCTGCAGAGAGCTACACACACCTGCAGAAACCTACACACACCTGCAGAGAGCTACGCACTCACATGCAGAGAGCTACACACACACCTGCAGAGAGCTGCACACACCTGCAGAGAGCTACACACACACCTGCAGAGAGCTGCACACACCTGCAGAAACCTACACACACCTGCAGAGAGCTGCACACACACATGCAGAGAGCTACACACACACATGCAGAGAGCTACACACACCTGCAGAGAGCTACACACACCTGCAGAGAGCTGCACACACACATGCAGAGAGCTGCAGAGCCACGCTTCAGCAGGTTTTACAGAATTATTTCTCGTGTAAATGAATTGTAGGCGTCAGCGGAAGACAACGTCTGCATCCTGAATGATCTTCTGCATGTTACGAATCAGGTGAGAGGTTTTTATTGATGCTGTTTTTGGACAAAGAAACTGATGAGGGGAAATTTGTTTCTCACGCCTCTTTAACCCTTCTAGGTGTCACTGATGAGTGTGAGGCGGGTGACGTCTCATGTTCGGGCCGTCTCAGAGCAGTTTTCTGAGTTCACTGCGGCTGATCACAACCACAGAAAGCTCAACAGTCTGATCAACCTGCTTTCATCCAGCCTGCAGGTGGTCTCCAGCTGTGGTTGCACACCGGAAACACTCAACGGTGACTTTGCACAAGAGCTGGAGTCAGAATCACCCACTGACCACGACCACATGAAGCACCCAGAAAACACTGCTGGATGTTTAACAGACTCATCCTCTGAACTTCCAGTGAAACAAATGCTTCATCTGATAGATGACGTTTTACAGACGGCTTCAGACTTGATGCTGGTGAGAGGAAACACAGCTTTTGTCTAACATAGTTGGACTTCACTGGACTGACATTCATGTGGTTGTTTTTAGAGGCACATCTTGTTCCAGGAGACCAAGGAGCACAGAGTTAGTGCAGGTCTCATCCAGCTGCACGCTGCTTCCCTAAACCAAACCTCCACAACCATCAGCAGCAACTCAACCACCATCCACTTCCCCGAGTCTCTGATCCAGACTGTGCTTTTTCACCTCAGAAGACCCAGAGGACCAGAGCCCTGCGTCCTCAGAGTGCTCACTGAGCTTTACCGGAGCCCTTACTGCTGGTCTTCATCACCTGCCCAGGTGAGACCAGCAGAAAGTGAAACTATTTACAGCCACATGTGTTCTTACTGCCTCTTTCTTTGTTCAGCAGATGGGACCAGTGGTTGATTTTAGTCTGTACAAATGCAGCACAAGGAGGAGAATCCATGTTGGCTCCTTCCCTCAGCCAATCAGCTTTGAGCTTCACCCTCCACAAAGAAACGTATGTTGCCTCTGGTTTAAGTAAAGGTGCCACATTGACTTCTTCTGCTTTTCTTCTAAAGCAAATGTTTTGAAGGTTTTATTGAGACAATAGTTCTAGTTGTCACGTTTCTGCTGCAGGTGAGCTCTGGGAGTGAGTACGTCCTCCTGCGCAGCCGGATCAACTACCACAACATCAGCATCAGCCAGGAGCTCCTGCATCATGCCGTCCAGGTGACAGTGGTGTTCACACTGCCGCCCGGCAAAACCTTTCCCATCATGCTTCTCTTCAGGTGTTGATTTTTAGCCGTCACGAGTTAACACTCATGTTTAATGTGAACAAGTTCTGACAAAACGTAAGACCCAACATGTGACTCACTGCTGTGTCAGGATGTCCGAGAGGCCGACTCCCAGCATGCACCACCTGCAGAGGATTCACAGGTGGGACAGCAACACCGTGCGCATCACTCTGCCACCATCCTGCATCAACGGTAAGAAATCTCTTGTTTTATCTCTCACATCCAACTTCAAGCAACGGAAAATTACATCAACTAAATATGCTATAAGTGTACATTGTATTTTCTTGATCAAAAGGTAAAGATTACTATAAAAATAATAATTGTAAACAATTTATATTCATGTATAACCTCCAGTCATGAAGTGCTCTATAACAGACCAACAAGCTCACCCTTTTCCACAGGAGCGTCACATTCTTTAATTAACTAAACTGAGGTACAAACTTCAGTCAAGACAGCCTCCACACCTTTGTCCACTCAGTCAGCAGCTTTACCTGCAGCTGTAAACATTAATATTCAACAGTATTGCTACAGCTTCATATGAAAAGCAAAAGTTTAATATATTTGTCTCTGTCAACGTTTTTTCTTTGACTCATCATTTCTCTATCTGTGGGTTTTGACTGTGGAAAGTCTTTATGAACATCTCTAAGCTGTTTCTATCACACATGCACAGAGATAAAGAGAGGAGACAGGGAAAAACAGCTAAATGACAGCAGACACTTATGCACGTGGCTGAAGAGGAATAATGTACTTTTCCTCTTTATAACTCAACCGTGACACTTTTGAGCTGCGTGCTCTTCCAGACAGCTCCCTTCTTACAATCGCAACTGGTCTTAAATGTTTTGACATTTTAAGTCTGAAAAACTGCAACGATTTTGCCAAAACGTCACAAACTTCCAGCTGCAGGCATCTGCCACTTAGCCCTGCTTGACGCTAACTTTGGGAGCGTGTCCGAGAGGAGGCGCAGGAGTGAACAGATAAGCTACAGTCTCTCGGTGGACAGCAGTCTGTGTTTGTCCTGGGACGATCAGCAGGAGGCCTGGACGCACCACGGCTGCAGGACGCAACATCTGGACACAGCAGTGAACTGCAGGTACGGCTGTAAAGGTGTGAAGACACGAGAGCAGATGTTCACACTGCACACGAGCTTGTGATTTACACTTTTCTATGTGTCGTCTGAATCCAGCTGCTACCAGCTGAGGCCACTGACTGTGCTGCAGCAGCAGATTGAGAGCAGCCATGACACCGCTGATCTGGATCAGTTCCTGAGGTAACCTGGTCTATTTGTTCCTCCTGTTTACATTCAACCTATATTTCTACAGGTTAGTCTCATTGAGTCACCAGGACTCATTTTCAAGAGACCTGTTTTAAACAAACAAAAATTTTCCTAGGCGTTTTGCAGCATTCAGAGTTAAACAAGATCTATTTCTGAAAAAGAAACCAAATTTTAATTTCTATTTCTTTACCAAGTTTTCAACATGGGGCTTAAAAGAGAGATGCAAATCGACCAAGATCCCCAAATATAAAAAAATCGACAAACTCAATAGGGACACCATTTGTAGATATGACAAGAGGAAGGACTGCTGGGACCGACTTCCTGTTTGAAAACAACATCCCTTTGGTTTTATCAGCATTTAGCACCAGTTTGAGATGAAGTAAATCTGACTGGATGATGTCGAATGCAGACTGTAGAAGCTGGAAAACCTTAGCAACTGTTTTAGCTCGACAATAAACAACTGTATCGTCAGCATAGAAATGCAAGGATGCATCAGGATGGAATGATCTGACCTACATTAGCTATGTAGATTGTAAAGAGGGTGGGTCCTAAGACTGAGCCTTGTGGTACACCATTATTGACAGTTAAATAACTGAAAGAAGTACCATTATGTTGAACACATTGCCTCCAATCTGAGAGATAAACCAATCGGTAGTGAAACCAGATTGATGGGAAGATAAGGAATGATTAGTATAAAAGATTGTTTGGTCATCGCTTTAAAAAAAGCTTGGGTGGGTGTGTGGGGAGGGGTTATTTTAAGAATCTGAATAAAAACATGTATGCTTGTGTTGTTACTCCCGCAGCGTCTCTAGTGATCTGACGGTGTTCAGTTTACTGGTGCTGGTCCTCATCCTGTTCATCCCAGTGCTCAGGTGGTGTCAGAGAGCTGATGTGGTCTCTGAGGAGAACCAAAGAGCCCACTACCTTTCTGACAACAATCCTGAGGACTTGTGTTTTTATGCTGTTTGCATCCACACTGGTCTCTGCTCTGCAGCGTGTATGACGGCCAAAGTAAGCCTGTTTATGTTCTTTTGAATAAAAGTTTATGCCTTTTATTGAAATGGCATAAACTGCAAAAAACGGTTGCACTGGTCACAGTCGCAACTTTTATGTTCCTTTTAATAATTTTCCATTACTGTTGAACCCCCAAAAGACCAAAATCAAATGTTTAAACTAAGAAATTATGCAATTTAAAGCTAAATATCTATTTTTGAATATTTATACATCGTGTGTTAAATAATTTGGATCAGGACCATGTTTGCTCCTGTGAAGCCTCCACTCTTCTTTAACAACAGTCTGCAAATATTTAAGACCTGAGAAAAACAAGTGATCAAGTTTTTTTTGAGAGGAATTTGATTTTTTGTTATTTTTGAATAATATGCAGTTATAAATGATTTGTAGTTTACCATAAATGCATCAAATGTGATTTTAGTCAGAAAATTCATTAAATAGAATTCATGTTCTGATTTTTGAATCTGTATGTGTTTTCCAGGTTTACATAGTGCTGTGTGGTGAACATGGAGTCTCTCAGACCAAGGAACTACAAGTCCCAGGATGCACAGTGTTCAGGAGGAACTCTCAAGACACTTTTATACTGAGGTAAAAATTAACACAATCTCCATGTCACTGTCAGAAAATTATTCTTCTAGTTCTCGTTGTCGGTTATCAGTCCTGATGTTTTAAACGAGTGTCGTTTTTGCAGTTTGAACGTGTTTTTCATGCTTTTACAGATTGTGCACGACTGACGGCTCCGTTTAATTTAATGATGAGGATCTTTAGCCTTTTTGACACAGTTTCACCATATCTGTTTTAATTAATGGAGAACAAAAAAACACCTATTACAAAAGAAAGAACGAAAACAGGGCTACTAGTCCCACTAGACCAAAACACTAGAAAAAACATACAAAAAGTTAAAAATTACCTGAGGTGGCTAGTGCCACCAACAGCAGGCCACAACTCCAGGACAAAGGCGAAAAGAAATAAACTAGGGCCCTGGAAAAACAAGGGCAGTCAAGAAAAAAGGTCCAAAATGTGGGAGCATGAGATGAGCAAAAAAAAAGAACAACTGAGGGCGTCTGGAGAGATTCAAAAACTGTGTGTCTCAGAGAGGGCCAAAAAGCAGAGTGAGCCTAAGAGAGAGAAAGGGGACTAATGCTCCCTGAAACCTGCCTCTTAAGTAGGAGTGGCTGAAAAAGCCACAGCCCAGAACAATTAAAGGCTGATTAGCCAACCCAGAACCCAAGACATGACCAAAGGGTCAACAATAAGGCCAACGTGCCTGGCACATAACAAAAATCAAAAATCTAAATCTTCTTCTTCTAGTTCTTCTTCTTTCTTGTTCTTGTTCTTTCTTCTTCTTTCTTATTGTTGTTCTTGTTCTTTCTTTCTTCTTCTAGTTTTTCTTCTTGTTCTTGTTCCTATATTATTGGCTATTAAAGAAGATGGCGGCAGCAGTTTTGGCCATGGCAGAACTGCAGACCATGTGTGAAGGTTTGGTTCGTGCTTCGAGCGCTCAAACTCAGCTGATTTTCGAGCTCAACCATAACATGGAAGTGATTCGTGAGAATCGCAGGCCACCTGCAGCTTCTGGGACTCGCCAGAATGTTGAGAACGACCTTGGAGGGAGCTCATAAGCACGGACCAGTGGAATGTCCTCAAGTCTGGCCATTTTGGATCGAGAGTACCAGCAGAACTCAAGGCTTGACGAGAAATATCAGTCTGCCTGAAAAAGATCAGCAATTGTGGCTTAACTGAATCTGACGCCCCCGTTCGGCCTCGAAGCAGGCTGACTTATCAAATGTCTCCTGGTATATGTGTTAAGAAGGCTCTGCTCTACGCAGCGCACCCCCCCGAGAACTTCTATGAATGCTTATCAGAGTTGTACCGGCTGACACCAACATCTTGTCAGGACTATGGCGCTATCTGGAAGTGTTTCCTGGTCAAATCTCACCGTCTTGTCGTGAAATTCATACGTAATGTGTTTTAAATGTGCTGCTGGTAGAGTTTTTGTGACGTCTTAAATTGTGTCCTGATAAGGACAAGGTGTCAAGAGATCCTTTTGTAACATCACTATGGCCTTTCCCCTATTCTATCTAAAAGAATAAGGGGCCACGCTCTCAGGAGCAGCAGCAACGTGCACTCCACTCCGCCCATTTTTAGGACGACTGTACAAACATAATCTCACTGTACTTCGGTGCAATGATAATAAATCTTTTTCTGATTCTTCTTCTTGTTTTTTGTGTCTGGTCTCCAGTGCAGCAGAGAGTCTGGGTCCAGTGTGGGGGGTTCACATCTGGCATGACAACTCTGGACCTTCTCCTGACTGGTACATAAAACAAGTCATGGTAACTGAGGTGAATCACATTTATTTTATTCCGTTTCTACTTTACAGCTAGACTTGGCTGGACTGTTGAGACTGTTTTTAATCCAGGTGAGCAGCGGGCAGGTGGGCCGCTCATGGCTGTTTGTCAGTGAGAGCTGGCTGGCTGTGAACAGAGATGACGGCCGAGTTGAGAGGATGCTGCGTGTTCGTGGACTCGGCTTCGCTCGGGTACCACGATCAGACACACAGGACGTGTTGCATGTGTATTATTTGGTGCGATGCTGAGTTTTTTGTTGCAGATGCTGTTGCTCAGGTTTTCGGACTACTTGGCTGACTCCCACATGTGGATCTCTGTGTTCAGCTGCCGCTGGCCCAACTCATTCACACACGCTCAGAGACTCGGTGTGTGTGTGTTGCTGCTTTCGGGCTACGCAGCCGTCAATGCATTCATTGTAGCACAAACAGATGATCGGGTGGGTGAACAGAACTGAGGAACTAAAGTTCTCATGAAGAAGGGTGCTCACCGAGGTGTCCTTCTGTTGTCTTTGATCGCAGCTCGAGTCAGGCGTTGTCGGTGTCTCGGTTGTTTCTGTTACATCAGGACTGCTGAGCGTGGTGGTTGTGTTACCTGCAGCAACATTAGCGTCCTTCCTGTTTCGATTCTGTGCGACCAAACCGACAGGATCTGGAGTCCAACATGCAACTTTCAGAACGACTGCCAAGAAGGATCCAGAGGGTCGGGTTTGATTTGACTCCTTCAAGAGGAGCTCTGTGAAAAAGTTACAACCAGTTAATATCTTACCTGTGGTAGATAACTTTTTGAAGATGAAGAAATAGTTTAATTCTGACTGATTTGAAGAGCTAATGGCTCGTCTGAGTGGAACCAAGACCAAAGTGGATTCTTACCATCAAATTCCTGCCTCAAATATTTTACAGCTGTACCTGTGAATGCCGTTTTATATACTTTTACATTGCTGTTGGCTTGGCAATAAATGTTTATTCTGGCAGAAATAAGATATTTATCCCTAAAGTGATCCAGGCTGCACCAGAAGTGCTACAGCTAGCTGCTGCTTCTGTTATTTACAGATAAGCATAGAGTTCAATATAAATTGTCACAAACTGTGAAACAAAAACTAATTTAAAACTATGCTGTACACAAAATACAGCCTGTACAAGACAGTATTTTTGTTTGTCATGGCTACATTTCTGGAAACTCGGCACATTTTTTTTAGAAATGTCTCTATCAACACAGAAACACACCAAAAAATAAAAATAAAAGGACATAAAACTGTAGTAACCATGCCAAGCTGCCATGAACATATACCATAAACAGGAAACAAGGTCCAGAGCATGAACATAAATCTTTTTTTTTCCTCCAAATTGAGGTAATTCAAATATCTATCTCCAACAGGTAAGATATTATTTATTAATAACATAACACAGAACTCTAGTTCAAAAATATCTAAACTGTTAGTTTAAAGATATTTAAACATTAAATATCCACTTCCTTCAAATTTTGTATTCTGTTCTACATCACCTCTTAATTAGACTGTCTCCTTCGTGTCTTTTCAGTTCGGGACATGGACTTGGACGCCCATCTGTCCCAGAGCAGCAGTCGTACATGGACACAGGAAGCCTGGAGGTTAAAACACCAGGTTGCACCTTTAAAAATCTATTTTTTCCTCTTCCCTTCTCTTTCACTGGGTTTTCATTCTTACAGCATAAAACCCCATCTGAGCTTTTTCTTTTGACATTGCAGGACACAAACGTCCTGTCGGTGTCCGCGATTCCAGAAAATAAAGGCACAAATGAAGAGTCAACAATCCAAGGAAGGTTGGGATTTGGGAGCAGCGTCGGACCACCGCTGCAAGGGTCGTCTCTGACTTCTATGGGGAGTTACTATGAGGGAAGAGAGGACAAGCTTTTAACTGAGAGCGACAGACTTGGAATCCAGAAAACTACAAGGAATGAAGGCCAAACCTTTCAAAATAAGAGCAGATTTGGTTTAACATCCTCGGGCTGTCTGTTCCTGGTCTGGGCTCTGTCTCTGCTGTGTTTGGCGCTCTCTGCTGTGCTGGGAATCAGGTATTTTCTGTATAGTTTCCTAAAACGTGAGTTTGTAAAGAACATTTTATGTGTCCTTCTTATATTTTGTGCCAACGTGTGTGTTTGTGTGTCAGATTCAGTAGCAGCCAGGTTTTTCTCTGGATCCAGTCCCTCTTTGTCTCTCTGATCTCCTGCATCTTCTTCATCCAGCCAGCTTTGGTAATAAAGAGCAGTTTGACAAATAGATGCATATTAACTAAATGGTGCTAATCTCTAATCCCGTTCTTTTCCAGATCCTCGCGGCGGCAGTGATCGTCTCTGTTTGGAACAAGAGAGCACCGAACTCTCTTTCTTCTTTCAGCTTGAAGACGCTTCAGGAGGAGATTTTTAATTCATGGGGCTCCGATCAGCCCAAAGAGCAGATCAGGCCGTCTGGTTTCCCCGATAAAACAAGTTCACGCTTCAAAAAGGTGATAATGAGACTCTGCTTGGCTACGGAAGAGTTTTAATTTCCTGCTAACGGTCGCTTGTTTCTGATTCTCAGCTGCTTGTGGCTCGTCAGAGAGTCCGATACCTCCGTCTCATGCGCCCGCCGACTCCATCAGAGCTGAGGAAAAGTCGTGGGAAGAGGCGACGAGCGGCTCTTGTCCATCAAACACTGAGGTTTGTCTTTGTGTGTCGGTGTAAACGTGAACACGTTCGCAGCAGGACTTAATTTCTTCTTGTCTTACAGAGATTTGTGTCTGTGTGCCGCCTCGCTCCTCCTCATGACGTGTGTGACGTATTACAGCTCATGTGATGAACATGCTCATGTCAACAGAGCCGTCAACAGACACTTTATGAGGTAACGCCGGTACCTCTATCAGTCAGTGTCACCCATCCACCAGGAAAAATGGTTTTATTTTATTAAAGAATAAATTAAGGAACCTGGACTTGACCCTTCGACCTGCTCAAATTTCAGACCAATCTCGAAACTTCCCTTCCTGTCCAAAATCCTGGAGAAAATAGTTTTTATTCAATTAAATGAGTTTTTGAATGAGAACAGATTTTTCCAGTCTGGTTTTAAACAACTCCACAGCACTGAAACAGCGTTAGTGAGGGTTTGTAACAATATTATGATCTCAAATGATTCTGGTCAATTTGTGGTACTTGTGCTCCTGGACCTTACTGCTGCTTTTGATCCTGTTGACCACAGTATCCTTATATCACGGCTGGAACAGTGGGTTGGGATCACAGGTGCTGCATTAGAATGGTTCCACTCTGTGTCAAGGTTGGTAACAATGTATCCGCCTCATTACCTCTTTCGTGTGGGGTCCCACAGGGTTTGATTCTTGGACCCCTTCTGTTCTCACTTTATTTGTTCCCACTGGGGTCCATCCTGAGGAAACATGTTCTTTCATTCCATTGTTATGCTGATGACTGCCAGATCTACCTGCCTGTGAAACCAGCAAGTGTTTGCTCCATTCATTCTCTGTTAAAATGTCTGGATGACATTAAGGCCTGGATGGCTTCAAATTTCTTAAGTTTTAACAATGAGAAGACTGACGTCATTGTCTTTAGCCCTAGCTCACCTGCCACCACTGATCCTGTCAACCTGGACTCTCTTCAGCCATATCTGAAGCAGTCTGGTAAAAATCTCGGGATGGTTTTAGACTCTGACTTCAAGTTTAACAAACAAATCAACTCTGTTCTGCAGAAAAGCTTCTTCCAACTCAGACAGGTAGCTAAGCTCAAGCCAGTATTGTCCAGACCCGACCTTGAGAAACTAGTCCACGTCTTTGTCACGACCCGATTGGACTATTGCAACGCACTGTATGCTAGGGTCAGCCAGGCCTCCATCTCACCTCTTCAGCTCGTCCAGAATGCTGCTGCTCGGCTTTTAACCGGAACTCGTAGGTCTGAACATATTACTCCAGTTCTGTCCTCCCTTCACTGGCTCCCTGTTCGTACAAGGATAGTTTTTAAAATTCTTCTGTTGACCTTCAAATGCCTAAATGGCCTCGCACCCCTTCATCTCTCTGAGCTTCTGGAACCTTACGTTCCCTCTCGGGCCCTGAGATCATCCGATCAGCTGCTTTTGGCTGTTCCTAAAACAAGAAGCTCAGAGGAGATCGGGCTTTTTCAGTCATGGGCCCCAAACTGTGGAACAACCTGCCCCCCCAACATCAGGCAGGACACCTCCCTTCCTCACTTCAAATCCCTGCTAAACACATCTGTTCTCGCAGGCATTTCACACTGTGTGAGTTGATTTAGTGTTTTTCGTTCTGTGTTCCTTATGTTTTAAATGCTTTTTATTAATTCTTCAGTTTATCATTAGTGTGTGGTATTTATTTTTTTCATTAATTTTTACTCCCATTGATGTTGTTGTTAAGCACTTTGATAACAGTTTCTGTTTTAAATGTGCTCTATAAATAAAGTTGACTTGACTTTTCCACCAGGAACAATGGTTTTATGTCCATAAAAAAGCACGAGGACTGGTGGAAGTGGATACAATCAACTCTGCTGGATGTACTGGATCACGATGAATCAGAAAAAACCGAGGTGAGGAAAATAGTTTCAGCTTCTCTAAAGAGATCTGTCGTAGACTCTGACAGGAATTTACTTTTTATGTATCCAATTGTTTTATTTTTTTGACAAATAGTTTAAATTGGTATTGATATGTGGTATAATTTGTGTTGATCAGCCATCACACGTTGCGATTGGGGATCTTGTGATTCAAAAAACAGAGAGGAGCTGTACGTTTCAGAACCAGGTAGGTTAAATGTGCATAAAAAGTTATATTTCTTTAGATAGTTTGGTTTCAAAGATTTTTTCTGAGTGTGCCTAAAGAGGAAGGATGGGGACAATTTAGGCAAATAATGTAAAAATGCATGATTTTGGTTTGTGGAAGACACAAAGAACACCACACCGAAGGCCTAAAACTAAACTTTTATACTTTTATAATCTGAGCTCTCGCAGGTTTTCTTGCTGACACATCCCAGAACATGTAATCATGCCCATTCAGAGGAAGTTTCTGCAGTTGGTTTGGACCGCAAAAAGTGAGACGAAAACCCAAAAAAGATGAACAAGTTTCTTTTTTTTGTCTGTAACTCGCTGCTGAGGCTCAGCTTCTCCTCTGCAGGTCTGCGGCGGCGGAGCTGAGCCGCCTACAGTCCAGTGGCTGGGTGGGCAGACAGACGGTGGCTCTGAAGGTCCAGTTCACCTTGTACAGCCCTGCAGCGAACCTGTTCACCAGCGTGACCCTGCTCGCCGAGCAGAGCCACAGCGGCGTGCTGCGGCCCTCTGCCAAAGTCCAGTCAGTCCGGGTTGATCCCACCCCTGCTGGGTGGGACCCTGTGATGGTCTGCCAGGTGGAGGCTTCATTTGATCTGATCCAAGTCTCAGGTTTTATCAAACCTCTGAAGGATTTAATTATTTTCTCTTCCTCGCCAGCTGCTCTTCCTCCTCTTATCTCTTCTACAATTCTGCAACCACGTGTCCTCGGCTGCACAGCAAGGGCTGATGGGAAACTGGAGGACAGCCTCCGCCTGGCTGGACGTGAGTTTGAATACTGAAAGTGCTTCAACCTGCCTAAACATGAAGGGACACGTGTACACACTCGGACACACACCAACGCAAACAAGATCACAGTGGCCCCTTCGAAAGGTTGAAACAACCTGGCAGTGTTAAACCAACAGGCCTATCTTCAGTGAGACAACCTGAAACACGCCTGACTGCCTCTGCGGCAGGGCAGGGCCTCGCCTCTTCACGCTGTCTCTCTCTCCGCAGGTCAGCCTGCTGACGGTGACCCTCGTCTATTGCGGCTGTTGCGTTTATCGCTCCGTCGCGATGGGTGAAGTTGTGAATTTCCTGCAGGAACGCAGTAGTGGAGGGCGTGTTGACGTTAACGGCCTGTCCACCTGGGAACAAGTGAGAAACAGACAGAAGTGGAAGTAAAACTGATTCTGGCTGAGTGGTTCTTATTGGGTGCCTGCAGCACCTGTTATTATCCACCTGACAAAGTGTTTCTTAACTTTATATCTTAACCCTTGTGTCAACTTTAATGCAGCCCGAACCACAATATGTACCCCCACAAACGTTATATCAAAACAACCGGCTCGGCGCCGTGATGTGCCCCGTTACTTTTATTGGTGTTTTGAGTTACCATGGTGATGTAATTTGCGAACAAAGCCATTTTCCTCGTACGAAACTCCTGACAGAACACTCCTCACACTAACTGCTGCTGTGAGGTCACATGACTCAGAGTGCAGAGCGCCCCGAAGAAAACAGAAAGTCGCTGTTGGATTTGTTTGAAACTCACAGAAAGTAATCATCAGATCTATCGCTAGAACTGATTGAAGTGTGGAGAGATTTTGATTCAAGACGGCTGCCACAGCTACCTCAGCAAACACAAAATGAACTATAACTCAGTCATTCTTTGAGATATTGAGCTGAAAGTATGGTTGTAGCTGTAACTTGTTATACATTCCTAATGCAAATCAAATATCCAAGATGGCCGTCTTAGCTAAAAGACAAATAATAAGATAACTCGGCTGTTTTTAGAGCGATTCAGCTGCAATTTGGTGTGTTAGTACCTGAGAGCAAGGCCAATTAAATACTGAATTCAAATCTAAAAATTCAAGATGGCCACTTTAGCTAAATGAGATTTTGTATAGTGGTAGCAGGGAGCGAACCCCAACACACAGTACTGTCAAATCAACAATTTAAATTGGCAGCAGCCTGGCAGTCCCTGTCTCCCTGGATTATTGAGCATGCATCAGGACAAATACAACTGACAGAAATACAATCTTTATTGCAAAAAAGAAACATAATTTGCCAACCAGTTATATATTTTAGGGATTAGAGCAGGAATCTAACCTGCAACTGTGCCGTTTTGCAGCAGAAGGACCCTAATGATACAAGTTGTGCTGTCTGTGTGAACAGAGCCATTTAGCAGCCACCAAGAGACGTACTCGTTACTGTAAATGAACTGTGGACTTCCTGTCATTTCAGCACCACAGTTAGATCAACGTGACGAAAAGTTTCAGGGTTTAAAGTTCAGAGATCAGTTCTCCAAATCCATGATTTCTACAGCTTTAAGGCAAACTGCTGTAAATTCAACAAAATTAAATTTTGTCCATCCATCCATTTAGGAGGGGAGTGGTGGCACAGAGGCTAGAGAAGGTGTGCCTGTGATCAGAAGGTCGCTGGTTCAACTCCCTGGACCGACAACATCAAAATGTGCTATTTTTGTTGATTTTATCTTTGATTTTAGTTGATTTTATCTTTGATTTTAGTTGCACTCTGTAGCACTTTGAGATTTTTGTTAATGAAAAGTGTGTTACAAATTAAATTCATTATTATTATTATTATTATTATTATTATTATTAAAATGTGGGTGGGAAAGGTGAAACAGCCACATCTGCCTCCACCCTCATTTGCCCCACTCTGTGCCCTTGAGCAAGGCCTTCAACCCCCACCATCTGCTCCCAAACTAGTCTCTCTTGAAAATGAGTCCTTGTGACTCAATGAAACTGGATAAATAAATAATAAATAAATAAAAATGAAGTTTACTACATCTTATCTGTGTTTGGGTTGTGGAGGGAACAGGTTTATCTGAAGGTTTATCTTTAAATAATGTATAAAAAGAGGCTTGCCTCCAATGAAAGCCTAGTCTTTTTCATAAATAAAGCTTTGTATAAAAAACAAAATAATAATATTAATCACAGATTGGTCTCATTGTTTATGTTGTAGCTATTTATCTCCAAGTTGTCCGTTTTATTTGACTTTTTCCCTATAAATTATAGGAAGAACTTAAATAAGTGCATTTTTCTAAACAAGAAAAAGTAATTCCTTATTTTGAACAATAGGTTATTAAATTTTAAGTGTAAATATGTTAATCTAAAAAAGGCAAGACTTTGTGGGTCTTTACAAACTTTAATGACTTGAAAAGATGATAAAAATGTCTTCGTAAAGCTAACGTCCCTGGTTTCATGTGTTCACGTGTGTTGTCTACAGTGCACACGTTCGCTGCGCGGCATCATCCTCTTCATCCTCACGGTGAAGACGATGAGCGTCCTCAGGGTGAACAGGACTTTAAGTTTCTCCGCAGCAGTCTTCACACACTCGCTCTCCAGCCTCCTGTCCTCTCCGGTAAACACAACATGCAGAGCTCTTCATATTCTTCTCCTCACTTCCAACACTTATTGTTTTGTGCATCTCTTGGTAGTTGTTTCATCACAGCGCTCTCTTAAAGACCGTTGTTGTTTCTTTGACCTATGGGAATGTCCACAGTAGCTGTGTGGGACATAATAAAACTGTCTTCAATCTGCTCCCTGTCCTTTGTTAGATCTCATGCCTGGTCCTGTTGGTGTCCAGTTTGGGGAATCTGCAGACTTTCCGCTCCCTTCAGTCTCTGATCTGGAACTACGGGGGTCTCCGAGCCTCCAGGGGTCTGTCGGGGCCAGGTTTATCTCCCTGGGGAGTGCTCATTCTGTCAGTCTCTGTGGTGTGGACTGTGATGGTATATAGTCCCTCATTTTTGTGACTGAGTAGAAACAATAAAATAAAACTTTGGATAACGGTTGTGCGTTACTCTCACAGGTGATTGGGGCGACCTCCTCGGCAATCAGAGCAGCCAAAAGACCTCGGAGCAGAAAGAAAGAGCTCACCACAACAGAAATGTTTTGTTACTTAAAAAAGAGGGTGTCCGAGTTGACCGGGCGGCACAGACAGACAGGGACCGACTGCCAACAGGAAGAAAAGGTGAAACGTTATTTCAGCCCTCTCTGTTCTCTTTCTGATGTTTAAACTAAATACCTGGAAAAAAAATAAAAAATAAACCAGCATTCCTTGAAGGAATGCACGTCACCCACCACTTTAAAAGTAATGTTTTAAACAAAGGTCTTGCATGATTTGTTGGCACTCAGAGCATATGTTGGGGAGGACTCTCAGCTACGACCACACAAAACTTTAGCTCAATAAATGCTAAATTAACAGAGTTGTAGTCCTGTTTGTGTTTGCTAAAAGTAACTAGCTGTGGCAGCAATCTATACTCGTACGGACTCCATCAGCTGTAGCTGTACATCAGACGAATACGTTCTGAGAGGTTCGTTAGGATCTGTGCAGCTTCTTGCCACGTGGATTAAGAGTTAAAAAAGTGTTAAATCGAGTAAAAGCAGGATTTTAAAGGAAGTGTTGTCTTATTAAAGGCTAATAATTGAATGTTTTTCTTATTCTTATTCTTATTTTATCAGCTGCGTTGAGCTGACCTTTCAGACGCCTGCAGAGACTGAGTTTATTAGTTTTGGCGGAATAATTAAAGCTGCGTCTTTATTTATTTGTTACGATGTGAGAAACCTTAAGTAAATGATCACAATCTGTAAACAATTCTGTATTTATTATAAGAGATGCATAAGTTGTAATGCGGTTTGGATGCTTTGTGCAAATCTTTCAGCACAAACTCCTCTTCTTCGAACAACAAGCAGTTTGTAATGTGAGCAGCTCCTTCCATGTAAATCAGCTGAAGCTCAGCCGATGGTCTGAAGGCGTTCCTGAAGCCTTTTGCATAAAACAAACTGAATTTGCCTGTTTGAGGTCGAAGCTCTGCACATTCTGCTCAAGGCATTTCTTGCAATGTATAAAAATATGTAAAGACGGCCTCAAGGTGGTTCTTAAACTCCAGATCTATTCCTTTTGTCTCTTCAGGCGTTTTTACTTGAGGAGCTGGAGATGTCCGTGGATGAGCTGCTGCTCAGACTCAGCGCTCTTTCCGACATCGCCCACCTCCCTCCGCTTCCCAGAAGCCCCTGCTGCAGAGAGAAGGACTTTCCTGCCACCTTCCCCACACCTCAGCCCTCCGACACACAGGTGAGGGAAACTTTATGTCGGACATTCAAACTAAAGGAAACTTCCAAAACCTCAAATCAACACTGAGAAAATGACCCTGTTAGGACTCGCTGAGGTCACAAACACTGAATAAATCCACGCAGGAGTCAGATCAGACGCCTGCAGCTTTCCTCTTCAGGTAAGCAGATTTAACCAGTATAACCAGCACTATTCATTATTTTGTTAACAAACGTGACTCTATGTTGCTGACAGGCCCCGCGCTGAACAGGAGGTCCAAAAAGTCCTGGATCAAAGAAGACAGAGGAGCTATAATCATCCAGAGGAAACTAAAGTGAGAAATAAAAACTTCCTCTGCTGTCCCACGTCAACATCAGACAAGGAGACTTGGGCAAAAGATGTTTTAGACCCTAAATCCAGCTGCTTGTTTAATAAAACTCATTCTGAGGTGGTGGTGGAGGTTCTGGTCCATAAGGAGCAAAACACCGAAGAGTCAGACGTGCTGCTTTAGGGTCCTAATCTGTGCACAGGTTTATAGATTAACATGGTGCTGAACTTTATTTGTTGTTTTAGTTTTAGTCAGAATACCAGGTCAACACGTGAAGGCAAAGTTGTACTTTCTTTTATTTCAAATCATATTTGCAATCAAGCATCAAAGTGACACAGAGCACATTTATTTTGCAAGCTTTGTTTTCATCAGAATAACTTTAAACTACAGCAAACTACCCTTTTCTATTCTTTATTAAGAGTCTGTTGAGTGCAGGATGCTAAACTGGACGAAGGAGAGGGAAACTTCATTTATTCTGAGTCAGCACAGTTTAAAGTTTCTTCTGGTCGTTTTTGGACTGTCTGTAACTACTTTGTGCTAATTTAGCCTTTTAAAAAGTGTTCAGCTCACACATGACGTTTATGTTGTGACTTTTGTTTTGTGCAACTTAAAATGTTACATAATGTGATCTGTTATGAATAAAATATAGGTTTGTGCTGTTTGCAAGCCATTGTATTACTTTTATTTACACTTTACATGACTGTTTGTGAATTTTGTGTTACATTTAACAAAAGACAATGAAGTTTATGACTAGGAACAATGAGATTTTATATATCTGAAATGTCATCTTTCTCATAGTAACACTTCTATTTCAGATATCTGCAATGTTTGTGCTGGATAAACAAAAGTAAATAAAGGAAATATGATCACATTTGTCTTAGGAAGACTCAAGTTCGAAATATTTAAAAGCGGTGGTTTGTAATGGAAGAAAACTTTTAATCAAATAACTGAGTTATGGACTTAACTTTAAAAAAATCTCGCTTAAATTTGATAAATCAGTTTTCCTTTCAGTAAGGAAGCGTATTAGGACCACGGTGATTTTTGTTTATTTTATTTTTTAACAGAAATCGCCTCCCACCCCATGAATTTTCAGGAAAAACTCTGAATTTTGAGAGTAAAATCAGAATTTTGAGTGTGCGCGTGTATGTCCTTGTTTATGCTACTTTGTAAGGCTCATTTTTCCAACTTATATATTGTGAGGACCAACTGCTTTATGAGTTGGAAAAAAAAATCAGAATTTTGAGGAAAAAAATATCAGAATTCTGATTTAAATCTTAGAATTCACTTTTTTTTTTTTTAACCTTGACCAAAATCCTTGAGACATCAAGTCCAAGTGGTTCAGCCCTGTCTTGTAACTGACTCACCTGTATAAATAAAGCTTGAATGAAAGGGAAGCCAAAAAAAACTGATGCGAAGAATTAGCCAATAGCAGCCTTCAACGTCTCAGCGTCAGGAATTGAGTGGCGGCTTCTGATTGGTCAGATTCTGACCGTGACAGCCAATCAGAACGTGGCAAGTCAGACAAGTTCCAGACGGAGGAGGCGCGGTTTGTGTCCGCTCGGAGTGTTTGTATGAAGCCGCAAGCTGCAGGTTTGCACAGTAATACGTCAGTATTTGATCCGGACAGCGGGTCTGCGGCACAGGGAGCCTCTTGATGACATTCATCAGCGTTAAGTTAACGGTTAGTTAAAACGGTTACTCCGGAGCTGCACGTCGTTTGACGCGGGGACGATGAAGAAGGTCGCTTTGTTGCTAATTGCGCTGCTCGGCGTTGCACTTTTCGCGACTGTTGGCAGATGTGAAGACGGTGAGTTGTTTTGAGACTCTGAGCAGTCCTGTGCGACTTTTTTCATCTTGAATTAACCTATAATTGTTGTAATGGCGCGTTTCCTGTTCTATTTAAACACGCTAGCTTAAGTTGCGGCTCGTTAATTAGCCTGCTAACTAAGCTAGCAGTGTTTAGCAAGAGTGCACAGGCTCACATAAAGTCACGAAGCTCCAAAATAACAATTTATACACATTTTAAATTTTAATTAAATATATGTAAAGCTTGTATTGTGCTGAACTGACCATTCTGTTGCACGTTCTTTCTGAGCCATGTTCTTGTTTGGTGTTCAGATGCTGCAGAGGACGAAGAGAAGGCTGCTGAAGAGGACAGTGATGAGGATGAGGATGAAGAGGATGAGGATGACACAGAGGTGAAGGAAGAGAACGGGGTTCTGGTTCTCAAAGACAGCAACTTTGACACCTTCATAGAGGGAAAAGACACCGTTCTGATTGAGTTCTACGCACCATGGTACGTCTGATTTTTTATTTTTAAGCGTCTTTAAAATTTAAGAGAGCCGACATGAAATGTATGAAGCGAGATTTTCACCATGTTAACTTCCACACACACATTTTAATACATTTATATCGTTTCTTAGGTGTGGCCACTGCAAGCAGTTTGCCCCAGAGTATGAGAAGATTGCTCAGACTCTGAAGGAGCATGACCCCCCCATACCCGTAGCCAAAGTGGACGCTACGGTAGCCAGCTCTGTGGCGAGCAGGTTCGACGTGTCCGGATACCCCACTATTAAGATCCTGAAAAATGGCGAGCCGGTGGACTACGAAGGAGCACGAACAGAGAAGGGTAGGAATTACGATTTTATAACCTTTTTTATAAAAGACACTCTTTAAGACGGCAGATACATTCAAATTAAGTGCTAATAAGGGCGATGCCTGTGTGTTACAGCCATTGTGGAGCGGGTGAAGGAGGTGTCTCAGCCAGACTGGAAGCCGCCTCCTGAGGCCACGCTTGTGCTGACGAAGGACAACTTCGATGACACCGTTAATAATGCAGAGCTCATCCTGGTGGAGTTCTACGCTCCATGGTGAGTCTGCTATTAAAAGTTTTTATGATGCGTCGTAAAACCAGGCGATTAAAATGAAAACTAAACTTTTGGAGATTTTTTTTTTTCTTCTGTAAAACCAATCCGCAGGTGTGGACACTGCAAGCGTCTGGCTCCAGAGTATGAGAAGGCTGCAAAGGAGTTAAGTCAGCGCTCTCCTCCCATTCCTCTGGCCAAGGTGGACGCCACAGTAGAGCCGGATATTGCCTCGCGCTTTGAGGTCACTGGCTATCCCACCCTGAAGATCTTCAGAAAGGGCAAGATGTTTGAGTACAACGGACCCATGGAGAAGCATGGTATGTGGACCCTTTCCAATCGGCAATTACATTTAAATACCATACCATCTTTATTTATAGAGCACTTTAAACATCCATAAGACCAAAGTGCTGTACACACAATAAACCAGTCAGTCAGTTAAAAATAATAATCACAGATGGTGTCAAAGGCCTGGGAGAGGAGATGGTTTTAAGAATGAATTTAAAAACAGACAGGGAAGAGTCTGATGTTCGTTGAAGGTTGTTCCACAGTTTAAGAGCTGCCACAGCAAAAGCAGGTCTCCTCTGAGCTTACGCTTCGTCTTCAGCACGCTCGGGAGCAGCTGATCACATGACCTGAGGGTGTGCACGGATGTAGCAATTCAGACCGATGAAGCGGGGCAAGTTCATTTAGTGCTTTTAAAAGCAAATGAAATAATTAAAAAATGAATCTTACAATGTACAGGCAGTCGGTGCAGGGAGGCTAAAATGGGAGACATGTGGTCAAACTTTGGTGTGCCAGTTAAAAGCCGTGCAACAGCATGAGCGATGCACGAATCACTGATTCCTGTATAGAGTGTTACAGGAGTCCAGCCGAGTGGTCACAAAGGCGTGGATTACTGTTCTGAAATGCTGCCAAGAAAGAATTGCTCTGCCAGCTGCTTCAACTGGGAAAAACAAAACTAGAACAATGTTAATGTCTCTTTTTAAAAGTTGTCTTTCACCTGTTTAAACTGACAGATCACTCTTGATGACATCATCTTGTTGTGCACTCGTTTTCTGCTTTGCATATTCAAATCTTTGAAAGTCTGACAAGTAATTTATAGTAAATTACTTGTCTTTTTTTTTTTTTTGTTGCATAAATGATTAAATGTTAGGTTTTATTATTTAAGGATTGCCAGGTGTCAGAGCCCGGTCTGCATCGCCGGCAGTAAGTCGGGCTTGTTCCCGGTGAGAGTTGGACTCCGCCAAGGTTGCCCTTTGTCACCGATTCTGTTCATAACTTTTATGGACAGAATTTCTAGGCGCAGCCGAGGTGTTGAGGGGATCTGTTTTGGTGGCCTTAGGATCGCGTCTCTGCTTTTTGCAGATGATGTGGTCCTGTTGGCTTCATCAGGTCGTGATCTGCAGCTTTCACTGGAGCGGTTCGCAGCCGAGTGCGACGCGGCCGGGATGAGGATCAGTTCCTCCAAATCCGAGGCCATGGTCTTGAACTGGAAAAGGGTAGTGCCTTCTTCGGGTCAGGGAGGAGGTCCTACCCCTCATCTATGGTCACGAGCTTTGGGTTGTGACCGAAAGAATGAGATCTCGGATACAAGCGGCCGAAATGAGTTTTCTCCGCAGGGTGTCTGGGCTCTCCCTTAGAGACAGGGAGAGAAGCTCGATCATCCGGGAGGGACTCAGAGTAGAGCCGCTGCTTCTCCACGTAGAGAGGAGCCAGTTGAGGTGGCTCGGGCATCTGGTTAGGATGCCTCCTGGACGCCTCCCTGGTGAGGTGTTCCGGACACGTCCCACTGGGAGGAGACCCAGAGGAAGACCCAGGACACGCTGGAGGGACTATGTTCCTCTGGTCTGGGAACGCCTCAGGATTCCCCCGGAGGAGCTGGACCAAGTGGCTGGGGAGAGGGAAGTCTGGGCCTCCCTACTTAGGCTGCTACCCCCGCGACTCAACCCCGGATAAGTAGGAGAAGAAGATGGATGGCTGGATTGATTGCCAGACCCAGTTTTGGGAACCACTGAGCTAGATTATTTTCTTTGACACATTAAAAAAAAAAAAAATTATACTAATTACAAAACCCCTGATTGCTCTGAAAAACCATTTGCAGTGACACCTCCTGTTACCAAATAGATTTTGTCCCATTTAAGAAATCTGCTCTTCTGATTCTCATGACTTTAACCCTGGCCGTGTACCGATAAACGATCGAACATGTATATGTTGCAACAACCTGTTTCTCTTTTCTTCAGGTATTGTGGACTACATGAGTGAGCAGGCAGGGCCCCCCTCTAAGCAGGTCCAGGCAGTGAAGCAGGTCCAGGAGCTCATCAAGGATGGCGATGATGCCGTCATAGTTGGTGTGTTCTCCAGTGAGCAGGACTCAGCCTACGAGCTCTACATCGAGGCCTGTAAGTGTTTCCATATGATCGTTTTAGCTTTTATTGCACATTTTGCAGCTCAGAGTAGCATAAATAGATTTGCAGTGACGGGAAAGTTGATCTTTCTGTTTGTGAGGTTGCAGACTGTTCCATGTGAACTGAACATGTTGGGATTGTTCTGGTTGCCGTTTGTCCGGCAGGTAATGCACTGAGGGAGGACTTCACCTTCCGTCACTCCTTCAGCGCCGAAGTGGCCAAACTGTTGAAGGCGTCTCCCGGTCAGATCGTCATTGTTCATCCAGAGAAGTTTCACTCAAAGCACGAACCAGCATCTCAGAAACTTTCAGTCAAGGTGCAGCATCCTTTATTTGACTTTTAATTTGCATTTCTTTCACCACATATGAAACCTAAGAATGAAGCTGTTTGAATGCTGCAGTCAACCCCTTTTTAAAATGTCGCCTTTTTGTTTTTTCTTTCATGTTCAGGAAACCACGTCTTTATCAGAAGTTCAAGAATTCTTCAAAAAGCATTCCATTCCTCTGGTTGGACACAGAAAACCCAGCAATGATGCTAAACGCTATGCCAAAAGACCCCTGGTGGTCGTGTATTACGGCGTTGACTTCAGCTTTGACTACAGAGTTGGTAAGAGTTGAATCAGGGCTGAACATCTGTAGAGAACACTGGTGTCTTTCCTTTTTTAAAAATTAAATTACTGTATTTTTTGCTGTATAAGTTGCACCTTTTTGCATAAATTTGCATGTTCTGAGACTTGTACAGTGAAGAGACTTATTTGTTTTTCCAACTTTTTGACATATTTAGACCGATGCAACTTGAACGTTAATCTCATGCGTTCTGTCATAATCCTGGTATAACACAATCGGTTTTGCTTTTGTATGTTCAGCTACACAGTTCTGGAGGTCCAAGGTGCTCGACGTGGCCAAAGATTTCCCAGAGTACACGTTTGCCATCGCTGATGAGGAAGACTATGCTGATGAGCTGAAGAGTCTAGGGCTGAGTGAGAGTGGAGAGGAGGTGAATGTTGGCATTTTGGCAGATGGAGGTAAAAAGTTTGCCATGGAGCCAGAGGAGTTTGACTCGGAGGTGCTGAGAGACTTTGTCCTCGCTTTTAAGAAAGGTGAGTTTTAAATTGTATCGTTTTTTAAAGCGATTTCTTTTTATTTTTTTCTAATTTTTGTCCCAAATTTGGTTTGCAGGAAAGCTCACGGCCATCATCAAGTCCCAGCCGGTGCCAAAGAACAACAAGGGTCCAGTCAAAGTCGTGGTGGGAAAGACCTTTGACGACATCGTCATGGACACGGAGAAGGACGTCCTGATCGAGTTTTACGCCCCCTGGTGCGGCCACTGCAAGAAACTGGAGCCCGATTATGTGGCCCTAGGCAAAAAGTACAAGAACGAGAAGAACCTGGTGATCGCCAAGATGGACGCCACCGCCAACGACGTGCCAAATGATAACTACAAGGTGGAAGGCTTCCCTACGATATACTTTGCACCAAGTAACAGTAAGCAGAATCCAGTAAAGCTGGAAGGGGGAGACAGAACAGTGGAGGGGCTCAGCACGTTCTTGGAAAAACACGCCACGAAGCTACAGCAGAGAGATGAACTCTGAGACCTTCGTCTCCGTACGGAGCTGAGAACTCTAACCGCGTTCAGCCGGAGTCTCTGGACGCTGCGTGGGAAGGCAACGGGAGCGCAGCGGGTTTAAAACTGGTGTTACTGACAAAAAGTTTTAGTTTCTGTTCGTTCCGAGAGATTCAGCTTCTGTTTCTGAAAGCATGTAAAAGCTCTGCTGACGATTTTTAAATAAAAACTGAAAATGGTGGCTGCTTCACGAGCCGGCACGAAGTGACTTCCTCCTGTAATGAATTGATACAAAGCCATGCTGGAGAACGGTTTATGTAGAAATCTTTCACTTACAAATCACATTTAAGAACATTTCAACTCGGTCTACTAAAAGTAAAACAGCGCTTGTATTAAGGCCGGTCCAGTTAATCTCCTAACGTGTTAATGCGCCTCTATCTTGCACAGAAAGATGCTTCTTCAACGTTAAGATTTAAATCACAGCTAAAACTGCTTTTCATCGTGACGGACTTGGCTGTAACACTAAAAGATTTACAAGTGGTTCGTTTGTACAAACGTGTCTTCAACTGTTCAAGGAATCGTTCAAAGTTTCTGAGATGACCTCGTTGGCACTTGTCAAAGGGAGAGGGTTTAAGAAAACTGCTGCGTGAACCTCAAGTGGAAGTCGCGGATCTTCTGCAGCACCAGCTTCAGCTTCTCAGTTGGAGGTAGGATGGTCATCCTGAAGGGTGAAGACGACAGTTGTAGAGGAAACGGTTGTGAAATTGAAATGCAAATGTTTAAATTCAAACCTGAAGTGGAAGGTTCCCTCTTTCTGTCCAAAGCCACTTCCTGGTACCAGACAGATTCCCTCCTCCTCCAACAGCTGCATACAGTAAAACATGTCTGGAGCCAGACCTTGCTCCTGTGCAGACAGATTTGTGTTTAGCCATGTGTCAGTGTAAGACGAACACCAGGACGCTGACTGCAGACCTTGGCCTTGTCGATGGCCGCCTGAGGTAGAGCGATGCAGGGGAAGGTGTACATGGCTCCTTGGACTGGGTTACAGGTGATCCCAGGTACTGTGTTGAAGGTCTCTTCGGTGAGCCTGGCCTTCTCTGCCAAGTCAGCCAGCACCGCCGTCCGCTCCTGGAAAATAATTCAGCCATAACATTATGACCACTGACCCAATATTGGGTCCATTAACAGTCTACAACAGCCCAGGATGCACCAGACTTCTGAAGGTCTGCTGTTGTCCAGCGCTAAAGCTTGGAGCCAAACCCATGCATCAGTAGAGCTGATGGGTACATGTCGGCATTGGTGATAACTGTCCCATTAAGTGCAGATATAAACACTGGGAACCAGTCGTGTACATTGCTAAAGGTGTAATTGTATAATGTATCCAGCAGAGGGCGCATAGGGACTACTTTAACTTTCACTTTCAGCACAGCCGAAGCAGGAACCAACTGTAGGTTTATTGTAACGTGCCTCTCAAGCTAACGTTTAGCATGAGGTATAACCTTGTAAAACTTTATCCACAACAATAAATCTTAACGTGGAGGTAAAACATCAGTGTTAAAGTTACCTTCTCTGCAAAGAAAATATAAACTGCTGCGGTCAGACCTTCACCACACGTGACTGTTTCAACAGTGAAGGGCGTTTCTTTATATTCTTGTAAACACTTTAACTTTATGGTGAATAAAGGATAGAAAATGTGAACGCACGTTAGGACGACTTTCAAGACTTCAAGTGTTAAAACTGGTTTAAGTAGCTGTTTACTTTGTTGGACAAAGATTAAAAAATGTTCAACCAGTATATGTTATCGGTATTAAGCCCCGCCCACCATCCCAACAGGCGATGTCCATATTGGTCATGCTCTACTGAAGATCCTTGAATCCTGTCAGATGTGATGCCTGGCCTTCATGAATCAGACGATCGTCCGCCCATTGATCATATGATGCTTGTTTGGACTGGCACAAAATAAAACTTTGCCCTCTCCAGCCATTTCCTTTCGTTTTAATGTTAAAATAAATAAATAAAATTGGTTCTGGACCAGGGCGTCTTCTTCCTAAGCCAGTTCCGACACAACATACCATATGAAGGTGTATTGGATAGGGAAAAACTCTTTTCTTTTAACTCGGCATTTAAAAAAAACAAGTTTCTTTTGGCAAACAGCCAAAACATGTCAGCTGAGTTCACTGAAGTCCTGCGGTACATATCTTATTATTAAACTCTCCCATGTCTGAGGAACATTTACAGCACTGGACAAAGTGTTTGCATTAATTTTTATATCCTCACATTTTCATTTGCATGTGATCGTTCTTATGTTTTTTTACAAAAGCAGGGAAATGACCTAAACAAACCAAAAGGCTCTGTTGACCAGTCTGTTTGCTCCTGTCCATTTGTCCACGCGTCACCGTTTGTTTGATATAAAAGAACTTTCTACAGTCCAGATGTTGATTACTTTTAATAAATTCAACTTTTCTCTATTCATGGGTAATAAATCTCATTGTTTTGTCAAACATACCTTAAATATATTACCAGACAGGCAAAAACATGTGACCCTTTAGTTTAAACCATCCATCAGGAAAAAAGCAGGATCCAGGAACTCTTATTTTGACAGGGTGTGTTCCGGTAACAGTTTGCTTGGATCCAGTAACTAATAAAGTTATGAACAAATAAAACCTATACTGGACATGTAATCTGAAAATAATGACACAAACACTCATTTTAAACGCAACAACCACGTACGAGCTTCCTAATATCACATCAGAGCTGCTCCTTCAAGTAAACATTTCCACTTCTACCCTTAAAAAAATCTTCACCCCTAAAAGTTCAGTCATGGGTAATTTAATTAAAAACACAAAAATATAATTAAACAGCACAACTAAATTGATAACCGGTTACAATTCAGTCCGAGATGCTCTGCTTCATGTTCAACATTTCTGACTAAAAACTTCGCCTGCTATAGATTTTGAAATGAACTGCAGGTAGTCACACCTGCATAAAAACACCTGCTCACTTATTTAATCCAGCTAAAAAGTGCAGAAGCTTTGTGTGACCACAGTAAGATGCAAGGCCAGGAAAGTCTGGACATTTCCTACTTGTGTACAGTCAGCACAATACTGATCCTTACAGCTGAAATATGCAGCTAGTTCCACACGAGAATAAATCTCTTAAATCTGAGGGTCAGATTACCCATGAACCCAGTAGTGACGTAACGGCCTCCCCCCACATCTCTGAACAACGCTTCTGATCGTGTGAGTCCAGACTTCATTCCTCCAGACCAATTGTGTAATATTACAAAGCATAAAAATCAGTTTTACAAAGTTCATATCACAGCAGCATGAAGCAGCTCTGAGAAATGATTTTTGATCCAACAGAAATAAACATTTGCCCCCAGAGGCAGATTACTTAAGAAGCAGCTGGTGAGGGTTTCGGCACCTCGTGCACGCAGATTACCTGTTTACACAAGTAAAACCTGCTTGTGTTCAATTGGGTGTTTCTTACTTTCATAAACGTGCTGAAAGACGGCTCGTCGGGCTGCGGGGGGTTCACCACCAGGTCGAGCAGAGCCTGTCCGGGGACGGGGGGGCAGAGACGCACCGACACCAGTTTGGTGAGCTGGGCCTTCACCTGAGGGTCCAGGTTGATCACCTCCATGTAGCCTCCACGGAAGCCACACCTGGAAATCAAACAGAAAAAGGCAAACAAAGATATTTTACTGCAGCCGATGTACACGTAACCAGGAGAAGCAAATCCACACAAATCTAGAGAAATTACGTTTTCTGTGGAGACGAGTGCTAAAAGACTGCTGAAATCTGCTGAAGAAGCCGAAACTGAGCTGATGAAGCTAAAATGAGAACATTAGCTACAAGCTAAAAACTATTAACTTTCAAAAAGTAAAAAAAAAGAAGCAAAAGACTAATAAGGAGCTAAAAGGAACAAAATGCTAGTTAAAATTAGCAAAATGATAAAGATAAAGGCCTTGTTCAAATCTAAAACTAGCAAAAGGTAAAAAATAACAAAAAACTATTAACTATTTGGAAAAACATAAAAGTTACAAAAACTAAAAATCATAGCACCAGTCGCTGAATGTTTTGATTTATGAATGGCTAAAATAGTTTTTAAAAGTAGCCGTAGAGTAGTCCCTCGTTTCTGCTCTCAGTCCACCAAGATGAGTGAAAAACTGCAAAGTAGGAATAGTAGTACAAGTAGTAAGTAGTTTATACATATATATATATAATATACATAAAGGCGTTTTAAACCCTTCCCACACTTTTGCAATATTCTAAACAATGCTTCTAAACTCAAAACGCTGTAAAAGAGCACAGAACATCATGATCTCTCTCTGCCACGTGCCAGCGCTCTTGGCCACGCCCACTTCTCCGCTGCACAGCGGAGATTGACGGGCTGCAGGAGGGAGCTTCTTCCTGTACCTATGGGTTGCACACAGGTGCAGCAGGTGCTAAACAATTTAAAATAGTTTATTTTTAATAAAAATTCCATGCCGATCATGCGGCTCATCCATCAATCAGCCAATTGTGCGTCGTGTCCAATCTTACTTTGAAAAACCGTGAAAGTCGAAGCGCCAAGTAGCGAGGGACTGATTGCCTGACATGATTAATCAGATCAATAAAAAACAGCCTCAGCGGATCAGACTGTGCATTCACTCTTATTCTTGTTGCAGTTAAAAGTAGAAAAGTGCGTTTGTGCACAACTCACTCTCCCATGTAGCACTTGGAGGTGGAATGGAAGGAGGCCATCTCCACCTTGCTGGAAAACTCTGGTCCCAGCTCGAACAAAACCTTCTTAAAGGAGTGAAACTTACAGCCGTCTGCGTAGACGTTATCCTGGTAGACCTGCAGCAGAAGAACACCTCCGTAAAAACGACTCCGGACACACACAAACCGGATGAAATGCAAAACGTGTGCATATGAACGTTTCCTAGACTTTATGCTGGTAAAATAGGAAGAATTTGATTTAATCTGGTGTAATCTCAGTTTGTGCTTTGAGATAAAAGAAACTGATGAAGAGACTCGTTTATTTACTTCATCGGCCATGAGGAAGAGACGCTCCTCTTTGGCAAACCGGATCACATCTTCAATGCACTGCCTGCTCTGGACCTGACCTGCACACAAAACCAACGAGCCAGACGTTTCGAGCCTGTTCAGTAATTGTATGTGTTCAGCGCTTTGGGAAGACAAACCTGTGGGGTTTCCAGGGTTGATGATGCAGAGCACTCGAGGATTGCAGTGCCGTCTGGCTTCAGTCAGCGCCCTCCTGAGCTCCGCCACGTTCAGACTCCAACACTTTTCTTCATGGAGGTAGTAGTTGATCTGCACGGCGCCCAGGTCTGCCAGGGCGGCCGAGTACAGCGGGTACTGAGGGATGGAGATCATCACTCCTGTTCGGTCTCGCCCCTCGCCGCACACCAGCATCTTCAGGATGGTCTGAGAACGAAAGAGGGGACCCCCCCCACAACTTTCAGCATTTATTGTTGTTTTTCAAACATCTAAACGCTCGGCTCACTCAGCTGAACGTTTAGATGTTTCGGCTGCTATGACTTCTGATTCTTGTGACTTTATATTTTTCTATTTTCCTTTATTCACAAAATATTTCCCTCCAGAAAACACTGAAATCTCTTCAGTTCCTTCAAAAGACCGTTCTCTTTGACAGCTGCTTCAATGTACTGCTCTATTTTAAGCTACTTTTAGCTTTTATATAACCTTTTGCTGGTTTTACCTTTTACCTACCATTCTGCGACATTTTAGCTTTTAGCCAGCCTTTTGTTACTTTAGGTTTTAGCTAGGCTTTTGTAAATGTTTACATTTAGATACCATTCAGCTAGTTTCTAGCTTTTAATTAGCCTTTTGGTTACTCTTAGCATTTACACAGCCTATTGCAGCTTTAGTTTTTAGTTAGCCTTTGCTATTTTGGTTTTAAGCTAACCTTTACTACATTTAGCTTTTAGCTCGTATTTTGCTTTTGTAAGGTTGTGTTTGGCTTCTTTGGGCATTTAGCTAAGCTACCTTTTGGCTACTTTGGCTTTTAACTAGCATTTTGCTACTTTTAGCTAATGTTTGGCTTCTTTCAGGTAGTGTTTGCCTCCTTTTTAATCTTTTAGCTCGTGTT